TCCGAAGTCCTTAAGCCAAAGTCTTGCCATCCTCCCTTCTAAGAAGCACTCTGGCTGTCCTTCCTCCACGTTCTTCTGGCTGTCCGTGGTCCTTCCAATACTCTTCACCTACAACATCATTCAACAGCATCAATTCTGTTCTTGTCTTCCTAATTCATCACCCAGCTTTCACGTGTGTATGAGGCAATTGAAAATGTTGTTGTCATTGTTAGGTGCCACAAGTCAGGCACATCTTAGTCCTCAAAATGGCATCTTTTAGCATTTTTAAGAAGCCTCATGCAGCGGATTTGCCCAATGCAATAATACATCGTTTCATTTCTAACTGCTGAGTCCATGAGCACTGATTGTGGATACAAGTAAAATTAAATCCTTGGCAACTTCAATATTTCCCCCATTTACCATGATGTTGCTTATTGATTCAGTTGTGAGGATTTTTGTTTTATATTAAGATGTAATCCATACTGAAGACTATGGTCTTTGATCTTCCCCCGTGAGTTTTCAAGCCCTCTTCATTTTCAGCAAGTCATCTATACATCACAGCTGTTGATGAGTCTTCCTCCAATCCTGGTGCTGTATTGTGCTTCATATAGTCCAGTTTCTTGGAGTATTTGCCCAGCATACAGATTGAATAGGTATTATGAGAAGCTACAACCCTGACACACACTTTGCTTGGTTTTAAGCCATCCAGCTTCCCCTTGGCTGTTTGAGGGACTGCTTTTTGGTCTAGGTCTAGGTTCTAAATGAGCACAATTAAGTGTTCTGGAATTTCTATTCTTCCAAGTCTTATTCATAGTTTCTTGTGGCATACGCAGTTGAATGTTGAGGTGGTTAGTTTATTGTGCCAGCCTGGCCGATAAACACATGTGGGATTAATTGAAGGGTGGAGAGATAAATGGCTCGGTGAGCCTTGCCTTTTGTCTCTTGCTCTTTGATCATCGGACCCGTGTACGGCTGCCTTGCTTATTCTTTGCCTCCATTTGCAAGCTACACGACCTGTGGGGCACCTAACCTGTGGACTGTGTCGCTGTAATTTGAGGTTCCTTCAAGACCCGCTTCGCCACACCATTGGAATTTACATCTCTTGAGCTGGGGACTGTCAGACCCTGTCATCTAGCTGACTGTTGGTGACCTGCCTTGCTGTTTGCTGCCTACGCCCAGATAGCCTGAATTGCTCTACAGAGGACTACCCGGTGGCCCTCAAGACTTGAAGGACTGCCAGTGTCTCACAACTGTCTCACAGGAGTGATTTGCACTGAGTCATTGTACTGCTTTATAATTTAACTATTTATTTCTTATGTTATTTATCTATCTGTATAAACATATATAAAATTATTAGCATTCTGGTTTTGTTTCTCTAGAGAACCCTAACACAAATGTCTATGTACAGTCAATAAAACATAAGTAAGCATCTTCCTGGTATTCTCTGCTTTTAGCTAAGATCCCTCTGATGTCAGCAATGATATCATTTGTTCCTTGTCCTCTTCTGAATCCAGTGTGAATTTCTGGTAGCTCCCTGGAGATATGCTGCTGCAACTCTGGTAGAATTATCTTGAATAAAATTTTACTTGCATGTGATATTAATTATATTCGATAATTTCCACATTCTGTGGGGTCACCTTTCTTTGGAATGGGCTCAAATACGACCTCTTTCCATCTGTTAGCCAGGCAGCTGTCTTCCAAATTCCTTGGCATACAGTAGTGCGAAGTCCGATGCTGCATCGGTTTTGTAAAGCATTCCCATTGCTCCCATCACATGCTGGCACCGTGTCTTTTGCAGCTTGGATTCTTCTTTCAATATCATTGGTTCTTGGTCATATGCTACCTCATGAGCTGGTTGAATGCTGACCAATTCCTTTTATTCCAGTGACTATTTATTCAATCTCCTTTTGATGTTTTCCATATTTTGCCCATATAGAATCCTTTAATATTACGACTCGTTTGGATTTCTTTTCCAGACCGTTCAGCTTGATATTTCTCGAGCATATTCTTCCCTTTTGATTTTCTAACTCCAAGTCTCTGGACATTTCATCATAATGCTTTATCGGCTCAAGACACCTTTTGAAAATTCCTGTTCAATTCTCAGTTCATTTCTTCCATGCATTGTGCTACTCTACATTCCAGAGAAACTTCAGTCCCTTCAGACATCCACTTTGATCTTTTTCTTTCTTTCCTGTCTTTTTAGTGACCTTTTATTCTATTCATATACATTCAAACTTTTTATTGTGAATTCGATTTTATACATTTTATTGCAACTTATCCGTTACAATCTTCCCAATGTCCTATATCACTTAACCCATGCCCTATGTCTCTTGATATTAAATGCTTGATTATTCCAACCTGAGGGTGAGCTCAGTTCTAGACCTGAAAGGTGATTAAGGACCATAAGATGCATGTCTTTGACGTCATCCCACAACTTGCCTGGTCTTCTAGCAGGTAAAACTGTTCTTGTATGTTCTCTAAACTCAGGTGAAATCCACTCAAACTCTTATTTTGGTTCTAGATGACTCTTTATTTTCTCTCCTTCAACCTGAACTTGCATATAAGCATTTAAGTCTGTTCCATAATTGGCCTCGGGTTTCATTTTGGCTGATATTGAGCTGTTCCATCATTTCTTCCCATAGATGTAGTCATTGTTATTTCTGTATATTACAGCTACCAAAATGCATGTGTATTGTCACCATTTATGTTACTGGGGGGGGTGCAGTATAAGTTGGTCTTGCAAATTTTTAGCATCCAATTCCCAATTCCACTTACATTACCATGACAATATTTTCCAATTACTGATCCTTGCTCTTTGTTTCCAACTTCATATTCCATTCGCCACTAATTATTAATGCATCTTGAATTTATGTTGGATTGATTTCTGATATAAGACGTTGGCAGAATTCTTTGCTTTCATTAGCTTTAGTGGCTGGTCTATACAGTTACATAATAATCTCATTAACTAGTCTTCCTTATAGGGGTATGGATTTTTCATTCCAGCCATAGTAAACCATACGAGTATCCTATTCAAACAGGCCAGTATGTGTCTTAGTTCACTAGTGGTTAGGGTATTGATCTTCAAGTGTTCCATTTCATTTTTGACTTCTTGAAATGTTCTTGAACTCATCCTTTGCACATTTCACATTCCAATTAATGGGTGTTTACATGTATTCTCTTGAGCAGCACTTCATCGTGAAAGCCCTGAAAGCTCTGCCAAGTCTGCATCATTAAGGTCAGTTCTACTTTGAGGAGGCAGCTCTTCCCCAGTCGTATACTCGAAGTGCTTCCCAGCATTGTGTGGTACAGTGTTCCTGTGCTATTCGTGGTCAGTGGCCAGTCTCCCAGAAGTGAGCCGCCTCTTCCTTCTTCCTAGTCTGTTCTGTCTGGAAGTTCCACTGGACGTTGTTCACCATGGGCGAGATTGCTGGCGTCTGAAATACTGGTAACTTAGCTTCCAGCATCACAGCAAACAGCATGCAAGCCAGCACAGGGCAGTTAACTGACAGATGAGTGTAGAAAGACTTCCCCCAGAGAAAGCATGTATTGAACACTTAGCGTGTGCAGGCATGGAACTGTTCTCAGTGCTTTACTCACTGGGGGACCAAATGAAAAGATGGAAATCTTCAAGGAATAGAAGCAGTATGTGTGATGCGTGGGAAAAAAAAAAAACACTCCCCAACAGCTCAGCATTGTGTAAATTCATTTTATTCTCACTGAAGCCACCCCTTCCAGGAAGCTCCTTCCAATCCCACTCACTGGGTGTGATCTGTCCCATCTCCACTTCCTTCCTCAGTGCCGTCTGTGTTCTGTTGACTGTCCTGAGTCCTAGCTACTCGGGTTCCTGTGTCCTATGACCTAGCTCTGTACATCGTGGCGTGGTGGAATATTTCTTATACAGGAATAGTTTGGGATATTGTTTTGCTTTTGGGGGTTTTTGTTGTTGTTGTTGTTTTTCCATATAGGAGCAGACACATGGCACACATAACCTTGGACCTTCTCATCATTCAGTTGGCCCCATCATTCCCAACTCCATTCCCCAAGGAAGAAATGTGATTGCAGAAAGCAGAGAATAATGGAATCTTTTTCTGGCTTTGGGGCTTCAGACGCCTAGGCCCAGAAAGGAACCCAAAAGACTTTAAGGCATAGACAAAAATATGTAGGGGAAGATCTGGAAAAGTAAGGCCTTCCCGTCTCCAGATTAACAAAAGATTCCCTGAGTTAGGGCCGAGGAAGACAGAGGAAGGGGCAAATCATGAGAGCATTGGCACAAGAGGATCCCAAGGGGAGGTGCCCTCGGCTGAACTTCTCGGAGCAAGTCCTGTGATGACAGCAAGTCTCTGCGTAAGCAGGCAGAATTAAAAACCACAGCAACCCATGGAGTGTCGGTCAGCTGAAACCCAGAGGCAGCAAGACCCTCCGACCGAAATGGTTTCAAAGAGTTTCTGGGTGGCCAAGACCTTAGACAACTTTAAACATCTTCCCAAGTGGCATAGAAAGTGGTGACGAGCCTGAAGACAAAAGGGGGGGGGGGGAGTTATGCCAAGGGAACAAGAAACTTCTGTGGAATAAGGTGCCTGGACCACTGTCTGGGGACAGATGGAAATCTCCAGGATAG